TCAAATCTGTAGATTTGTTAGATTTGTTAGATTTATGTCAGCCAATATTTGTCTAAGTACTCTAGCTTGCATGCTGATCGTATCATTTAGTCTTCTGGCTGTTCACTGCTTGCTTCGTTCTGAACAATAAATACTGAAAGTTCACAGAAAGGCTAACCCTTACTGGTACTTAGCCTGTGTTATTCCATGTTGTGTTGTTCCTACAGGAAACAGTAGATATGAAGCACAATTTGCACAACTTTTTTATGAGTTCCTCAAATCACAAATTTCCTAATTGCTGTAAGTAAGTGAGAAGTTTGTCATTCCTCAGAGACTTAGCTTGTTTCTTTGGGGCTTTTCTGAAATTGGCTTAATACATTGGTATTTCAGAGTCTGCTGGGTTTGCAGAGAATAAGTGATTTGCTTGGCTTACAATAGCCCACTGCTAATCAGAAAACACATTTTTGAATTCTGTATTTAAGCTGCTAAGAAAACTTGTTTTGCAACTTGGGTTAAAATACCAGGAAATTGTGGTCTTAATTCATTATTTCCATACTGTCCTGGTTTCAGCTGGGATAGAGTTAATTTTCTTCTTAGTAGCTGGTATAGTGCTGGCTGGGGTTAAACCACGACACCTACCAGAGATCAAAATGAGTTCTGGCATAGAATTACAGCCGATATGACCAAAGTCAAAACAATTCATTTTTCCCCTAAATACCTATAGACCAACACGTATTTTTCTATAGCATCTCCATGACTTTGCATTTGGTTTAATTGTTTCTCTAGTTCATCATTCTGTAGCTTCTCATTCCACAGCACTGAGGTGAGATTAGTTAACCTTTGTTATGGTTCAGTAAATCAACACAGCAGAGCAGAAAATATTTGTGCTCTTCTTTCTCATTATTCTGGTTTAGCACTCTCTGTTTGAACTCTGTACAATTCTGTATAATTACTCCAGAATGATATTTACTGGGAGTAGAGAATCTGGATCTGCATGTGTCTTTACCAGGCCACTTAATTAATATTTGAAGTATTAATTTTTGCTTTCTTCCACCAAGACAGGATGAATACAGTGAGTGCAGCCAAAGCACAAATCAAGTTCTCCCTGATCTCTGTTGTGAACTACTGTTGTTCAGCTTTCATTTCCTCCACAGCTCTTGCCCAGGAGACGGGATGCGAGACACTGTATTTTTCTGCAGTACGCTATTCTGCTGCTCTACTTGTCCAAGAGATGAGAAAAGCTGTCTGCCCTTTCTTGCCGCCTGAGCTGCCCTGCTGTGAACGCTTGCACCCAGCAGGGCAGTGGGCAGAGCTGGGCAATGAGCACGCAGGCATGGCCTCCGCTCATGTCCTCCCAGCTTCCCATCAGCAGAGCCAGTTGCCGGGGGTCAGAGGTACCAAATAAAGGCCTCATGCTATATGAAGCACAAACATGACAGCCTGACTGCAGTGTTTCTGCGGGCTCACAGCAGTGCATGAGCATCTCAGACTGAGAGAGGTCTGCTCCCGTCTACAAGATTTCCAGAGAAATTATTATTGCTCTGCAGTTACCCAGTACAGTGACTGCAAGGTAAAAGCACGAAAATTTCACTATGAAGACAGCTTCATTCACACAGTTGTGGCCAGAGTACTCCAAAGCAGGATTTTGGCTTGTGCATTGAACTAGAGGCTGAACAGAATCCAACAGGTTCAACGCCTGACTCATCCTGGTGGCTCCCGCGCAGGACCTGCGCTGCCCTCCGCGACACTGCTGTTTTCTCTGTGACCTGCTGCACTGCCCACAGCCTTTGGCTGCCTTATGCAGTAAGTTTCCTCTGAGCCTGGCCAGGGAATCTCACAAAATCTAGTTCTAACTGCTTTATGAGCAGGGGTATGTATGTGTGTGTATGATGGTCCTCTCCAAGCTTGCTTTTAAATACAGATAAATGCTGCCAAAAGGGAATTGGACATCCAAAACGGCATCTTCCACACCTATCCATAGGAGACAAATGTGTTTTTACCCTGGACACTCATCATTTCCAGCTCCTCCTTCCTCTGCCAAACTGCTTACTCACATGCTCTAATCTATTTAGCAGAGGTGGCGCAACATACCTTGGCACTCTGGGCTTTGCACAAAATATAACCCCAGCAGTTTTTACTGGAAGCAGATTAGGGATACTGATGGCACTGCACCACAGGCATACTGGTGGGGATGGGAAGCAGCACGTGACCAGGAAGGGAGGTGACGGTGGGGTGGCAGCAGTACTGGTCTTTAAGGAAGGCAACTGCTGGCGGGTTGGACAACTGTCATAGTCTGCCTCACTTGAGTGCTTAAGGGTAGAGGAGATGGAAACGTGCACGGGTCTGAAGTGACTCGGCCAGCTGTATGACTGAACCCTTAAGGATCAGGCAATGCTCATTTCTTTATATTTTTAATCTCAGGAAAGACACCAGCCGCTCAACCTTACAAGTGGTGCAAGAAATAATAACAACATAGCTGGCCACCAGTGTTTTGTGAGGGATTGCTTATTGCAAATGCAAGATAGGTGGCAGAAAGACAGGTAGCGTAGTTATTCAAAAAGCCCTACACGCCTGTGGCTTAGCTCATGACGCATGTTATTGTCAATAAAACCCCAGTGAGCAACTTCCCGTTCTCATCAACCAGCCCTAGGAGGGAAACAGGCCTACGGCACGCGGCTTAAAGGAACAAGAAGAACCACTAAGTCTACAACAGAGGTGTGAATGGAGATTTCTTTTTTTTTTTTTGGCTCATTTGCACTTCCTGAACTGTGTCCTCACTGGGCCAACTAGATCTTGGTAGTAAAATTATTGACTTTTTTCCCTCAAGAAACCTATACCAAAAGTAGCAACTTGGCAGCAGCTTGAAGAGTGCTGCTTCTGGGGTGTTGTCATTTGCACTGCTGCCAAAAGGCTGTCAGTGCCTTGGGCCACAAGCCACTGTTTGATCAGACCTCTGAGCCAGTACACACTCACCCACTGCAAAAATTCACACTTAAATTGCATTATCATATGTTATACAATTGTATCATCTGATGTAAAGCAGTGGGGAAATGCCCTGGGAGTCCAAATGAAGACCATCACATTACATAGACTTTCGTCCTTTGGACAATTTCTTGATCATAAACTGATTAGATAATCTAGGCTGCTAATACTTACTTTTTGATGGGGCAGATTTTCTACCTACTTTCTTAACAAGGTTGCCAAAATTTGTTCTGGACTGATGACAGGTAAGATGACAAATACATGGGAGGAAACATCGGGACTTCATTTCAGCTCATAAAAGATCCGTGTTTCATTTGCTCAAATTGCACATCCTCATACTCTGCAATGATGGCAAAACTTTTGTGGCACTTGATGGTAGACTTTCCATCCCAGCACAACTGATAAGAATGCTGCAGTCTCTGGTCATGAGGCTGTGGTTGTTAGCCTGTGTGCAAGCTTATTTGCTTATGGGATTTTTGTGTTGAGTTCAGCATAGGGAGGAATACTTCTCTCCTCCTACGGCTTCCACCATCCCTCATGGGACCAGGGTGGGATAAGCATCCACTAGAAGCGCATCCCCTCATCCAACAGCAGTAGCACATCATAGTTTTAAGTGGTGGTATCACCAGAAGTAATAGCAAAAGTGGTGAAATAGCTGGAGCTTTAAAATTTTCGCAGTAAAGGTACTTTATGGATGGGCTTTGCCTGGGGGTGATGGGAGCGAAACTGTTCTGCTGCATGTGGCATTTCCCCAGGCAGAGCCAGGAAAGGGCAGTAGGGGAAATCCCGTACTGCTCCGAGCTTTCCAAGTCCAGCCTCCCTAGCACCCTTCTAAGATGGCCCAGGACACCATGCGATAATAATTCGGTGGCTAAAGCAGCATAGCTGTTACACGCTCACTCATCCATGGTTGGGGTGTATTGTAACAAGTTTTTACTTGTTGGAAAAACTGTCAGAGAGAAAAAAAAAGCCTGTTCTATGATTTAGACATTAATATCTCTGTTTTTCCAGTGCGATTTGAATACATCTGTTTTTGCAGTACGTTCTTGAACATTGTAAAAGAAAGAATGGATCAATTCAGACCAGAATAAATACCCACACTCTGGAAATCAAACTAGCTTAAAGATCTCTCAGTCTGAGAACTGAAAAAAAAAGGTAGGTTTCAGAAAGAGGAAAAAAACCTTTTGAAAAGAACACTGTATAGTAGTACACTGTACAGTTGTTACTATATGTCTCCAACACAAAAAGAACCATGTTTTTTCACCAAATGCAGAAACATAAGTGCAATTTCTAGTATTAGCTTAAAGAGCTTATTGTAAACATTAAACCCCGGGATTTGCTGGCTCTGCTTCTTACAGCTGAGTAGAGCTGATTCATGAAAAAGAAGTGAATGGGGAAGGATAACTGGTAAGCAGAGAAAGCAAGAGATGAGGGAGATGATTCCTGGTGTTGGTGCCTGCAGACTAATTTCAGTATTCAAAACAAGGAGGAAAAAATCCAGTGATGAAGTGTGTCAGCATATAACCTTGCTTTTGCAGGAGAAAAATGAATATTGCACTTAGCTTACAGTCCATCTTATTCTGAGGCATACTTGATGTAACAGACACGCTTCCAACTTTAATATTGAAGGTTGTCACAACTTGAAAAAAAAAAAATCTGATTTCCATAAGTTGGAAATAGTAATACAGGTCTGATTGTGCTAGGTAACTCTCTGCTTTCTGAGGGAACATAAACAAACAAAAAAAAATCACAGGACAAATACATTTTTTTGATAATCCTCCATTGTCATGTATTAAGAGGAGTTTTCTACGATGGTTACAGTTGAGGAGTGCAACCAGAGTTGCGTGGAAGCCTAAGTCGTTGCTGCTGACACATTTGGTCCATCTCACTCATTTGTGTCCATGGCCCCTTAGGGAAGCACAGAGGTTCAGGGCAGGTGTACAGAGAAATTGCCTCAGACTATTCTTGCAGTTTCCAGTCTTGTTTCACTTTGCATGAAATAAAATTACAGAAAGCAATAGAAGGAAAAAGTAGTAATGATGTCAGCAAAACTCCTAAAATACAATTCCAGGCATTGCTCAACAGGCCTTTGATTGTGGGCTGTCTTACAGACTCTTCTCACATATCTGGTGGAAAATTAACTATTTTTGGATTGGTTACTATTTAGCAGATTCTTTTGGATCCAGGTTACATCTGGTAGCACAAGAAGGGAAATGGAGACAGAGGATAGCCTATAAGCAGAAGGAGGGAGTAACTAAGTATGGGAGCTCTCAATAGCCAGCTCTGAGCACCCTTGTTTCTTTAGTCCTAACCCTAATCCAACTCTTGTGCTTTCATTAATTCAATTAGACCCCAAACCACAAACTGTTTTCATGGGAGGAGTTACTGTTATGGTCAAAGCATGATTTCAAAACTGGAAATGTATGGAGGGACTTGGAAGAGAAGTGTGGAAGATCTGTTCCCACAATGAAGAAGTTTAAGTCTTTCAGCTCAACAACTATCTTCCTTATAGCCATTACTGTTGATCAGAGTCCTTAGAAGGCTGACCAGTTCCAAATCAGCTAATGTAGATTTGTTTTCTTCATGCGTGCTGTTCGTGGCATCATTTAGAACTGTTTTGGGGAAAGACATAGAAGGACATCTCTTCACGCTAGTATCATAAGCCAGTGTCATAAAGCGTTTATTTATCACATGATTCACCTGTGACAGAAGGTTCATGGTTCATTACACACGTTGTGGAAACAGCTATTAGTACAAGCTGACTTTCTTCCCACCTTGCCCCTGCTCCAGAATGTGGCCACGTGTGCATATTGCCACGATAGCAAGCTGTAAGTGTGGGAAGGATTCAGAGCTATATTTTGCCCTGTGTGCCAGGTCCAGCATGTAAGGTTATAATTAAGTTACTCATTACCTTTTCTTCTTGGACGGAGCCCTTATCTATCTGTAGATACTGAGAAGAGCTGGTTTTTAATTTTGTACTTGACAGCACATTGGAATGATTTTTCTTTAATCTCCTGCTAAGCACTGCTAGAATGCCTACTCAGTGGAAAATTACCTTATCAATACCATTAAGTGAGAATAGCAGTTGAAGAGGCCTGTATTGTACAGTCCAAACTACCTGCATTGCCAAAGACTAATAAATCCTTGCTATGAAGCTTAATATTGAATGTCACACCTCCAGAATAGGATGCACTTACAACATCATCCTGCATCACATGAGCTTGCTGTTTGTTATGTAAAGCCTGGGAAAAGAAATCTTTTCAACTTTAAGAACATAATGAACTTCTAAGCAGTATCCAAATGAACTCAGTACAGGAACTGGCAAAGCAAGAAGGTCACATACACAATAAAATACATTGGCACAGGCTCCACACACAATGGACAAAAGGAAAAAAAATGGGAGGGGGAAAAAAAAAAAATTCACAGAGGCTGGCAGCTAGCGAGCCTAGTCAGTATGAGATGTATATGGAGGGCAATAATTTCTAGCATGCTCTCCTCAAGGAGCTAATTTCCAATTTTTTTGGCACAGATGTCTACTTAGTAAACAGACATCCAACTCAAGGTGGTTACCCCTTCTACCAACAGTAACACTCTTGGAAAGGTACTCGGACCTTCCAGGAGAGGAAATATTTTTGGCACAAATACTGCCCATTGTGGGGAAAAAAGGTAAAGTGATTCATGCAAAGCATTTGTAACTTCAGGAGGGGATAGCCGGAACCTTCTGATACTGTTTGTATTAGAAACATGAGCTTGGGGAAAGCTTTGCTAACATATGATTACCTTGAATTCCTGCTTAAAGTCTGCTTGCTAAGATGCTGCAGCCTGACCACTTGTTTTTAAATTATAATAGAGATGATACCAGGTACGGAAGAGAGACAAAATATTGTGGTTATTATACCAATCCTGCTGGTTTCCTCTAAGAGAATTTTTCTAACCAGTTCCTTCTTGGGATCATCCCCTTTGAGGGTCCTACCAACTGCAGGTGTAGACAAGGGCTCTTAACCGTGCTGCTGTAAGGATGTAGGCCTAGTCACCCAAATAATTTTAGATTTAATCTAAGCTGAGTAGGCACAGTATCGCTGGCCAGTTTGACTAAATGGAAACTTGAGGGTCAGTAGGACCAGGAAGAAAACCAGAAGGACTAAAAAACAACTATGTACCTATCAGTGAAATGCCTGTATTTTGGACAGGAATAGTTACAGGCATTGTAACATTGTGTGAAGCTCGGGGAATAAACTCTCGTAAGTGCTGCTAGTTAGTGCATATAGTGTACACTGTTTTATTATATGAGTTTGACTGTTTTTTTGTTGAAGTCCAGGAAGGCTACTGATAAACAGGGAATAACTTAAGAGAAAATTAAATGAAATTTACTGCCATATATTTTGTTGTGGTTGTTCGCTGAACAACAGGCCATCATGAAGCTCTACAGTTATAAAATTGTATTACAGTGATTTTATAACCCAAGAAAGCAAAAAAACCCTTCCCTTTTGTAAAGTGTCATTACATGCAGCCACATTTAGCAGAAGGCTCCACAGGGTTCAAACCATAAACCTGCAAGTGTCAAATGAGATTAGTCAATTTTCCCACTTGAGCAAATTTGCCTGCCAGACTCTGATAGTCTCACCAGGCAAACTGAAAGCAGTTGCTGGCGAAACCCTTTCAAATGACATTATTCCTCTGCTGTTTACAGAAGCACACACAGAGGCACAAAAGAAACTGTTTGCTCAGTTTTCTATTTAAATACCCAGCTTTTTCGTGACCTTTATTGCATGTCACACCTGCTCTGTAAATGCAAAATATCCTATGTTCTTGGGTGTAACACTTCAATAGCAGCTGCAGCTGAACCAGCTGAGCAATAGCCCGCAAAGGCCTGGATGGAACCAACCCGGAGATTTATTTAGCGTTTGTCAGCTGACTATGAGCTGAAAACTTGGAAATGAAAGTGCGGGCATAGCAGAAAGCAGAGAGCATTACTACACACCTGCAGGAAGGTTCAGGTGAAAGCAGTGATAGTATTGAAATCAAACAAACACATGCACACACACACACAAAACTGTTCCTTTTCTGCAAACGCTAACAGCAGTTACTGCCTTTCATGTTCTGCTGAGAGGAGGCTTTATGATACTTCCCCCTCCTGGAGTACTAGCTGCATCCTTCACACCAACAGTATCATAAACTTGATAGCCCTCAGTCCAAGCCAGTTCAGGCAACTAATTTGGCAGAAAACTAATTCAACAACCCCTCAACCTAACCAGCCTCTCCAAACCCACGTTATTTTTTTCCCCTCAGTTCTGCTATCTGTGAAAATGCACAAGAAAACAACAAGTGAGAATATGGAAGAGGGGAGAAATGGAAAGGACTCTTCCTCTTGACAGCAGCCTAAAGGTAGATGAATTCCCAAACATCAGAAAATCATGTCTATAACATACTTCCATGTTTCCCTCCACCACAGCGACTATTAGCTATTTGGTACACATTCACACCAGTGAGGTGGAGAAAAACACTTTAAATTAGTCTTGCCAGGCCAGGATGTAAGGACTTCACTTGCTGGAAGTTGGCAGAATGTACGCGGAAAAGTCAGGTCTTGTGTGTGACTCCTACCCACAATCACCAAAGTGTCTTGGAAGTTTCCTCAAGATTCATTTTCTAAGAAATAAAATCAAGCAGCTGCTTGCTTGGTTGTTTTTGTTTGTTTGTTTGTTTGTTTGTTTCTCCTTTAGAATAAGCACTCACATGAATTGAAGAAGGTCGGGCTAGACTGCTAAGAAAAAATAACTGGGCCACCAACTGCCACTAGGGAAAACAGTGACGTGCCCCTCTTGCCTTCCATAAATCTGCAGTTTCAAACGATCTTGCCAGAACCTGGTACTACTATTAGGTCCTTCACAGTTGGTGGAGCCCAGTTGTTTTTCCAGCCTCTATGCTGTGAGGCACAACAGACAGACAAAACTTGAAAAACAAAAAGAAATAAGAAAATTGGCTTTTTAAATCCGATTTCCAGGCAGCCTATGCAGCAAATTATAAGCGATCATTATTAACACCATGTGCTGAACGTTTGGTGTAGATTTCTGACTTCCCCGGTCGCACATCTTTCCCACCTATTTCTGCAAACAAGCTCTCCACCTTTGCCAAACAGCAAAACCCCTTCTCGTGGCCTTTGCTTGCACCGCCTACCACAGATACTGGGAGGAGAAGCCCCCATGCTCTTTGACTGACTTGCACCCTCGCAGGAAGCAGCTTTTCCTTGCTCACCACTGCTGGTGTTACTTCCCTCCCAAACAGGATTGGGGCAAACCCCTCCTCTTCAGTCACAAGATTGAATCACAGGATTGAAACCACTCCACTCATATGCCTAAACTTCCCCACCACAGGGTCTTGCGTGTGCTCCGTCTCCCAGTTTGGAAGTGCCGTAGCATGACACACCGCCCAACCACGCGCTGCCTTCTGAACAGTGTGACATCCTCAGGACATCCTCCTCCTCCTCGGGAAAGTAGGAGCAAGGGCACCAACTGAAGAGCAGAGAAGAGGTGGCCACGTTGAATTGCGTCAGTGAGCTGAGGCGACCAGAGTCACAAGCGCCAAGTGCCGCTTCTTTCTTCGGCATGTAATTTGCTTCTCCCCCATTTGAAAGACAGTTACACCTTTGTCCAGGCTTGCCTCCCCTGGCATGCTGCCGCAATGGGCTAAAGGGCACGCATCCACCTCTGATTACTCATTCACTCCAATAATCGCTCTGTTCGCTTATGGCTAATGACAAGGGTTTATCCTGCCTGCTTCACATGAGGCACATGCCAAATATTCTCTCTCCCCCCTTGTTTTCCTATAGCAAAGCACATCCTTGCTGATGTAATGAGGTAACAGGCTAACTCAGTTCAGCTGCTGGATATCATCAAGTTTCCCCGAAGTTCATTTGACAAAGGTGACTTGTGGCATCAATTTTTAAACCATAAACAGAACTACAAACTTCTGTTACTGATACAGAATTAAAGGGAGGAAAGTCGAGAAGAAGGGAGAGGATGAGGGCAGAGTCCAAAGTCTTGCATAAGCTGTGTAACTGTGGAAGGAGAGTAGGGAAAAGGATGGAAAAAGAAGAAAAAAATAACTTACTTTCATAGTTTTTCTGTGAAAGCAAGTATTACAATAACCTCATGATAGCTGAGGAAGGAAAGGCAGAGGCAGGAACAGGTAGAACAGTCTAATATCAGAGATTCCTGACAGACCATGCTCAGGTGGCAACTTGAGCCAGGCACGCACATTAGAGAGCACACAGGGCTCTCTCAGCTGCCTCAACATTAGAATATGCATCCGATATCCTTCAAGGAGGAATCACCTGAGAAAACGACTAACATTTCCTCAAAACTCTGGAGTCCAAATTTGCTCCTACTGTTGCAGCCTGGGAAGACCTTGAGTACAGCCGAGTAAGAGGAAGCACATCAGCAGGACGCAGTTCCTCACCCTTTGTGCTGGGTACTGGGTTTTGCACAAACTTTGTACCATGAGGTATGAGCCTACTCAGATCATGAGTATCACGTTTGACTAAAACTGATGGATGGAATAGGGTTAATCCAAATTATAGTACTGAGTTGCTTGTTTTAAAAAAGTTTATTTAAACAAAGTAGGTACATTTCACAGAAATGGTTGTAAAATGCATAGCATATTATAAACAATACTGTTACTTTACAGATACTAGTTGTTATTATCCTAACTATTGCTTTTTAAAACCTAACCAGAAATGAGTAAGCTAAAATCCCCAGTTATTCCATCTTAGGCACTGTGAAAAATAGTATGATATAACAAAGCAGGTGTCCACTTTTTCATTCACTCTACTGATTGTATTGCTGCATCATTAATTCGCAAGTTCCTATTATATGGAAATATCTGGTCCCTGGAGTCATGTACCAAGACTAGATTTCCATCAACTGGAACACAAATTGCACTTGCTCAGCCAACCAAAACCCCATGCAACTCCAAGGAAAGTTGACTAAGGGTCTTCACACCAATTAACTTAACGGACAGAGACCATATGAGTGGACAAAAAACCTAGCAGTTCTAAGTTGTGCAGATATGTCACACCCATACTGCTCTTCATAAGCAACTTGACTGCAAGCTGGCGAGTCCATACATATTTCAAGCTTGACTTCAATGGAAACTGAATGTCCAGTAGAAACAGACCTTACCCTCAGCCGTGATGCAATGCCACAGAAAGTGGAATTGAGCCTTTTTACAGCACCTGAGAACTGAGCACACCATGAACATTCAGAACTTCACATAATCAAATCCAGAGGTGTCTGTTTTCTGATCTTTGGGATGCCAGGCCACAAATAAGTAAAAATGAAGAGCACAGCACCAACCCACAACCACAGCTGAGACAAATAACCAGTTCATTCACACACTACTTCAGCACATGAGTCATGACTGAAATTCTTCCCATTTACACTTCAATGACAATAGGCATAAAGCAAATGCTGAGGTAAAAGGAGTTGCACCAGGTTTGCACTGCTGTAAGCAAGTGTATAATCAAGCAAGCTATAAAATCCATTAATTCACACACAATAGAGAAGGAATAATCCCCTTATTTTCAAAACACATAGATACATGCTCAAGAATAAACTGACTTTCTGCATTATGACATGAGCTTTACAGTAGTTTAACCTTGGCTTGGACTGAAAATAAAGAACCTTGAACTCTGGCCAGCAGAGCTCCTTTGGAACTGTTTGTCAAGAGAGAGGAATGAGGTCTGAAGCAGTCCAAGAACATCGATGTTTCATTCACCATCTTCAAGTAGTTTTTGTAAGTTGTTCTGTATCTTAGAAAAAGAGAGAAAAATAATTGGGAGACAGGAAGTGTTATACTGCATTTAAAAAACAAACAAACAAGACATACTCTTCAATATACTCTCTGTGTGCACGTTAATTCTGTCACAACTGTTCATACCAATGGTATTCATGTTAAATGCTTTCTGCACTAGAGCCACAGGAAACATCTGGATATGATCAGCCAGCAGCACACCTAGCTTTCGTATTATGAGTATCTCCTGCAATTTCCTCCTATAGCTTCTCTCCTTCATTAGGTATGAGAAAATAAAATAGAAAAAAACTAGAGCTAGAAAGAAACGGACAAGAAATCCAATTATTTTGAACTTGACCAAAACCCAATAAAAGCCTCAAACTTCAAAATTGCAGCTCTTAGGTTTAAGTGGATAATTCAAACAGTTTTGTAACAGCTTCAGCTACACAGCTGGCTATGACGTGTGCACAGCAAAATAAGGTCTTCTAACCATTAGCAGACATGTCCTATTTGCCAGATTTAGTGTATTGATTGTGGGTTATCTTCCCTTAGTTACAGTGAAGGCAATGTCAGCCAGTTCCATCCTCAAGGATGCTTTGCACAGACCTATTTTACACGGCCTATTTATCCACCTTTCATCTCCTTGTCCTTAAAAGCAGAGAACAGGGAATATAGTGCGTCACATTCCCTGGCACACGTGTTCCCTGTATCTTAGTAACTAGCAGTCACTGGCTACACAAGGTTCAGTCACAGCTACTTTCAGACTTCAATTTAAGGAGCCATTGTACTTCTTGTTGAAGGATGCCACTTCTTCATCCTACCTCATGATTTCTAGCCCAGATGCACACCTTTTTTCAAGAGTGGCATTTTGGGGAAAGAAAAACAGTAAGGAGGACCTGATTTTATAAGAGACACTTAACGCATACACAGGAATTTCTTTTTCACAAATGACATTAGAGTAAGGGAATGAGTAACATTAGTCCACATTTTCCCTCCCCCAGTTTAACGCTTTATCCTCTGATAGACATGGTGCATTTTAACAACCTGTTAAATACACTTAAATGCCAAAGCAAAATTCTGCTAAGCCAGGGTAATTCATTGGCTCCAAGTATGAAGTAGAGCTTGTAAAAAAATGAAAAGCTCACACTGAAAAAATCATTGCAACATACTCTTGCACTGAACATTTTTTAACTGGAGAGTAATTTTTAGTTTTTAACCCACATAATTTCTGTGCTCTAGCTTACAATGCTGCGGTCACACGGGAAGGGACGGGAGAGAAGACAAGTTACGCTGGAACTTTTATGCTACCTTTGCTGCCCAAGCCAGCTGCAGCCAATTACTAGCACTTTTCACCAAGGCATATGAAACAGTTAAGCAACTGCAGTAACTGCTCAGAGAACATAAAGTTATTAGATATCTACCAAGTTTTGCAGTACAAGAGTAGGGTCAAAGATCCTGTTCTAACCACTGCTCGTCTAGATTAGAGAGGACTGGGATTTGGCAATATGCAGCTACAGGCAATATTCATTTAGCTTGTGTGCACAGCAGTTGATTGTGTCTTGAGTATTTGGCAAATACAAGGTAAGACTTTAAGGGTCCAATCCTGTAGACACTAACTGAAAAAAGCACATGACTTAAGACTCTAATTCAGGACAGAGGGTCACTTCTCTGGGAATAGCTGAATGATCCAACCATCCAGCTGCCTTTTACTGCACCTCCAAGCAGAGACTATATAAGGGAGTAGGAAAGTGCCTAGTCCTGCTGCAAAGGGCTGGCTGGCTTCCCACTTAAATGAAGTTAAGGTCTCCTATGCACCATCTCGCTAGCCTGTCCTAAACAGCTGGAAAGCAGTAACCTCTTAAATGACCTAATTTGGCTAAAGATTGTATCTGGTAATCATCTGGTAAGTATTTTCCCCTTGTATTCATATTGTTCCTATCCAGACCATACAGAGGGGTTATGTTAGCATTACTCTAGACTTCCACAGCCAACGGGATGGAGATGTGGGGGGAGAAACCTCTTTTTGGCAGTCTTTGTAAAACCTATGCCACACAGGTAAACAGTGATGTTAAATAATCCTAGCTTTATGCTATCTGAGAAACTTAGTTTGGGAAATAAAAGTGTTGAAAGACCTTGACATGCCCTCAGTTTTAGAAACAGAGGCAAAAATAGCGCATGTGACTTAAGCACACAGGAATTCAAGTAACTTTTGTTTTCGCTCCACTAATACTTTTTTTCATGCTTGTCCAGTGTATGTGTTCCCAACACATACCATTTTATACACCCGTACAGGGTGCAGTTGTTAAGGTTTGGGGGCAGGGGCAGGACAGGGGGCTGCAGGGGCAGCTGCTGTGGGAAGAGGCCGGGGGCTGCCCCGTGCTGGACACAGCCGTTCCAGCAGCCTCCAATGGACCCACCACTGTACACAGAGAAGCCCCTCAGCCAAGACAATGGTGGACCTCTGGGAAAGTGGTTTTAAGAAAGGCGAAAACCACAACTGGAGAAAAAAGGAGAGTAAGAGGGTGAGAAACAGCAGAAGGAACACTAAGGTCTGAGAAGGAAAAGGGGGAGGAGGTGCTCCGTGGCAGAGAAGATGTCCACACTGCAGCCCATGGAAAGCCCATGCCAGAGCAGGCGGGTCTTCCCTGAAGAACTGGAGCCCTTGGAGGAGCCCATGCTGCAGCAGGGGGAAAATGGGGTAAGAAAGGAGCAGCTGAGAGAAAATTCTTATGTACTGAGTGTAACGCCCCCACCCTACTTGGGGGGCAGGGAGTGGGGTGAGGAGTCGGGAGCGAAGGAGTGAAGTTGAGCCTGGGACAGCAGGGAGGAAAGGTAATGTTCTATCATTTGTCTTTGTTTCTTACTACCCAAATCTATTTTAACTGGCACTATATTAAATTGATTTTCCCCAAGTCGAGTCTGTGTTGCCTGCGATGGTAACTGGTAAGCAATTTCTCTGCCTTTATCTTGATCCACAAGCTTTCTTATCCTATTTCTCCCCCCTGCCCTGCTAGGAAAGGGGAGTGAGAGAGCAGCTGGGTGGGCACCTGACTGCTTGCCAAGGTTAGCCCATCATGACACCTAAAGTGGAAATAAGGTCTGCACACCCACTCTTGTTCTGCACAGGTTTCCAATTTAAGTCAGCAAGTGCATTTAGTTTTGCAATTAGAGAATGGTAAAAAGTAAAGGTCAGGCATACGGAATTACACAACTGGTGCAGCAGCATTTTTGTTACTGAAGTGAAACAGGCAGATTCCAGTCATTTCATATGAGGAGGCTGACTACATATGAAAGCCAGCATCATTTTTCTTAATAAAAAAACCAAAACTCAAACAAAAGTTCCAGACAGAAAATTTCATCAAATAGTAATAAGGGTTAAGTTCAGAATCCTTAGCCTTGATGAACAAAAAAATAATTCAGATCGTTACACGCAATAATCACCCCTGAAGTGTCCAGTTTATTAGTATTCCTGGTTGTGAGCCTCAGCTCAAGGCAAAACATTTGCACATACCAATACCTGTACTTGGGCTAATTTATAGTCCAAAAACCAGCCCTTTGTCTAGGAAAACATGCCAGCTTCTGGTATCAAATCTGGGGGTAACTTGGCACTTTTCGAAATAACAGACCACAGAAATTCAGCAAGAACCTGATTAGTGTATCAGCATTTGCATTGTATCATAGAAAGTTACCTTTTCCAATTTTATAAGATTAGCAGTTAACTCATCACAAAGGGCATCAGCATTAATTTGCAGATGAGATCCCAAACCCTGGCGCACTGGATGTCTGTCAAACAGAATGAAGAAGTAAGTGTGACAGAATGAAAAAGAGGAAAACAGCACTGAGATACATGTAGATGGGAATACAATGGTGACATTGTGAACTGTACTTGTTTACAGAAACAAAGGCCTAAGTCACTTTTGCACTCTTGACTACATTCTTTATGCAGTTTCATTCTCCAGAAGTTTGGATGGAAAACTTTACAGCTATTTCCACTGGAAATAAGCTGAAAACTTGCAGAAGTTCCATGTCCTGTGATTTGCAGGAAATCAGAAAGCCTAACCCCTTGATGCTGTAGAAGTACACATCAGATCATCCTGTATCTTGTACTATTTGGGATCAGAGCAACAGAAAACATGACCTTCTCATGTAAGAATGCTTTAGAAGAGGGACACAGAGTCCTGCTAATGAAAACATGCCAAAAGTGGGAAAATGGCTTTTGACATTGCCTACTATTAGAGGTAGGCTTACCCCTCTCCTTGCATTATTGGTAAAATATAAATACAAGCCTATTTAAGATAAAGAACCATTTCCTCCCTATTCCTTTTTTATCAAGAACCTAGCTCTGTCTTCTGACACACACATGCAAGTCCTACTGCTTTCCACAGAAGACAGCTGACAGCAGCTGGATTCTAGGAAGCACGATCATTGTTCAGTTTGACCACAAGTGCATTATCGGAGTGACCTGTTCATCATGGATGGGTCGTCAAAGAAAGCTGAATTAAGAAGCACCCTTATTCAAGAACTTGCTAAAGGTTTGAAACACTTTGCAGACAGTTCCACCCAGCCTAGGTACGCTCTGGCTTGAATTTTATTTTCCCTCTCTGTTTTTCAGGTGGTGCTTCTCCAGCTGTCAGCGTTCCCACTCATGCTGCATGTGGCTGCAGGTTTTGCAGTGAGATTTATAAATGACTTCTTAAGCCATGTTTTTCAGAGCAGCTCAGAAAAAGTTCAGGTATAAGAAGGGGAGAAGAGTTAATGCAAAATGTAATGCTGAATAAACTGATTAGTATTCTCAGCAGTATTCAGTTAACTGCCTTCTGTGCTAAGAGAGGACCAGGAAGCTGACACACAGCACATTGCTGTGGTGTATGCCCCTGCACTGCCTCTCCATTTGATGTTTGCATATTTCCTATGCATGCAACACGGTGATTAAAAAAAAAAAAAAAATAAAAATGCAAGGGAAGATGACATCCACGACTCTAGCTACAGAATGGAACTATCAATGGAACTATGGCCCGTTTCCCTATTTCCTCTTCAAATACACAAAGAACCTCCCCTTGGTGTGCCTGGGGTTTTTTTTTTTTGGTTTGGTTTTGTGGTGTGGGTGTTTGGTTTTTTGGTTTTTTTTATTTAAGCAAGACAGGATATCAGTTTCTAATGAGGGTATTGGCAGGCCAAAGCTTTAGAAAACATTATACAAGCAAGTCAGGTGTATTAGCCCACAGATTATGAAGTACCTTCTGTCATCTTAAGCTAATCAAATGACATTAAGACTGAAGACAGAAGTTACACCTTTTCCACAGAATAAAGGAACTGGAAAGGAACTGCTCGCTTCAGCAATTTACACTTAAGTTAAAGTGTAGTTAACTTACTAGTTGAGATAGTTAAGCTATCTCAAAAATTCTCAAGGCAGTAGTACACCATGATATATCACATTTATACTAAAAGTCTTAAACAGAAAGCTCCGAGATGAGGCTAGTACAGATAAAAGAACTACAGGACACTAAAGTATCACAAAGGCACTACAGTATCACAGTGGTTTCTGAAGAAAATAGAGGAGCATGACAAGTACTGGAAAAAAGATTTTAAAACTCCAAAATTTTACAGACTCTATCTTACTCCTTAATATGTGAATCAAAGGATGTGATGGAAATAAGACGTTCCTCCAGGACACTGATTTTATATCTCATGTAGAAGGTAGAAAATATTAATACACAAACACTGTAAAAGAGAAAAATAAGGTACATCAGTTAATGGAAACTTAACTTTGGCTGAGGTACCTGACAAATTTAATGTTAAAAGACATTTAAGTTGTTACTTGTACACGTTGAGTAATAAAGGTATCATTCTTAGAAACACCTCAGGAATACCCATCAGTGGCATACAGGCAGTTATGCAAATCTCAGCTTTGAGTATGGCTTTGCTAAGCGACATGTAAAATGAACTTGCAAGTAGTTAAACTCTTAACATTTCCTGAACCAAAAGACCTTTGCTTTTAAAAGTAAAAGGCCCGTTAAGTAAGCCTGCCCCAGCATTTCTACTTCTGAAAAGTATAAAGGCCACAATTACCAATAATTTCCTTTTTTCAAGTGAAGCTTAGATTATATTAGTCTATGTAAACCTAAGAAAATCCTAGTAGTTTGACAATCTTGGTATTAGTTGTTAACTTACAGAACTGCGTAAAATATAAGTACGTGGTTCAGAGACAAGAGCTTCTGGGACTTCACTTTGTGGAAGAATCTGAAGGATTCAGAATCGCCTGCAAGAAAAAGAGCCAAGTGTTACTTTGATCAAAGCAGACCATGGCACACAAACAGTGTTTTCAAGTGTGCAACAGATAATATAAATAGAGGGACAAACAAGAAAGAGATCTTCCAAATTATGTGAACTGACATAACTATGGAAATTTATCTCAACTAACTCCAGCTGAAGATCTGCCCTTGACTCCTTACCATTTCGAGGACTGTTTTGGGCTTTTCCGTCAGCTCCGCGTTTACTGTGTGCATCTGAACGGACAGCCTTTGCCTCAGTCTTGGAAACTTTCAAGTGAGTCTGTGTCTCAACGACGTGATAATCTGTCAAAAGCAAGATTTTTAATAAAGCTGAAATATGAAGTCAAAGGAAGCTGTTGATGGCTTCAGATAGTCAAGGAGTAGGGGAAAAGGAGGATTTTAAGAGGTGTATTTCTGGATTTGGATAGAAAGCAGCAGTTGGTTTAGTAGCCTTAAAACAGTTTGCATAGTAATTTCACATAATCACAAAATATAAAGAAGCACCTGGACTAGAAGAGGATGATGTATGCTGCATTTACATTTCCAGATCCTTTGAAAGACAGCAACCTGTGCAAACCTTGAAGGTTATCACCCATTCTCCAGTTAGAAGATTATACAGACACAAAAGTCATCTCGCAAAAGGACTGAATATGCTAGAGTAATGATTCCAAATGACTTTAATAGCAACATCAAATGGAGATATTGCATTGTTACTTTAAAAAGAAGATTATAGCTCCCTTTCCTGACTGTTTTTTAAATGCACATGATGTCTTAAAAGAGATGGGACAGAAAAATCCAGTCACACTCGGTTCTATTCATGCTTTACTTGCAGAACCTGGACTGCTCTAATGATGCACAAGAAACAGGATCACAAGTGACAGATGTGTTCCCCTCCACCCCTCAATTCCTTTTACTAGGGTGATTCTTTAACAGGATATTGTTTTTTTAATTATGGAAAACAGAAAGGTTTGAAGCAGTTATTAGCTGTAAGGCAGTAAGACAGCAAGTTAAATCACTATTCAGAAGCATTCATGTGGCAAGTGATGACACCACAATTTAGTTACTGCTTCACAAACACCACCAAACAGTTAAACATACACACAGAGTAAATACCAAAGACCAATGAAAGTAATTAGCCCCAAATCATACCACTGAACGAAAGACACATAGGACAAAAGAAGAGTTAATTAAAACTAATGTGACAGAAAACTGCTATGAAAAAAAAAAAGATAGTATTTCATTTAAAAGTAATGGTAAAAGTTTCTTATTATACAAATACTTTTATAGTCAAGATGGAACCTGGAGTAACAACAGCATAACAACGCATTAATATGTTAATATATATTAATTGTACAGCAGAATAATACCCCAAGTTTTGCTAATAACATTCAGCATGTGCTACATAAAACAAGTTCTGCTGTACTTATGAACTTCTATGCAGTGAGTTTCTACACAGCAT